ACCGCCCCGCGCTCTGCCCAGCTGGAGGCGGCGGACGTGGGCGAGGTCTTCAAGATCCGGCTGGGCCACACGGGCGAGGGCTTCGGGCCCAGCTGGTTCGTGGACACCGTGTGGCTGCGGCACCTGGCGGTGCGCGAGGCGAGCCTCACAGCCGAGGAGGAGGCGCGGAAGAAGAAGGAGAGGGACAAGCTGCGGCAGCTGCTCAGGAAGGAGCGTCTGAAGGCCAAGCTGCAGAGGAAGAAGAAGAAGAAGAAGAAGAAGGGCAGTGAGGAGGAGGAGGAGGGGGATGAGGAGGAGGAGTCCTCATCGGAGGAGTCCTCGGAGGAGGAGGAGGAGGAGACGGAGACGCAGGAGGAGGAGGAGGAGGAGGACGAGCTGGGGCCGGGGATGCAGGAGGTGATCCAAGAATACAAGTTCGAAGCCCACCGCTGGCTGGCCCGCGGCAAGGAGGACAATGAACTGGTCGTGGAGCTGGTGCCCGCGGGCCGAGGGGGTCCAGAGCGTAAGCCTGGGGAGGGGTCAGCGGGCCCCTGGGGGGCCCGGGGAGGGGGAGGGTGGGAGGGGCTCCACAGCTCTCCTGACCTGAGTCTGACATGCCCATTCTCTGTTGGGTTCCAGTGGCCCTGGTCCCGAGGCGCTGGGGAGGAGCCCTGATGGAACTCGCTGTTACTCAGTGTCAGGGGACGTCAGCAGGAGGGCTGCTGAGGGCGCGTTTTGCCATGACTCTCAGCCTCTTGGGCTTCATGGTCAAGGGGTGTCTTGGGTAGGGGGCAGGGGCAGGTTGGGTTCCAGGTTAGCATAGATATAGGTGTACCTGTAGTTCCTTACTTCTCCCACCATCTCGCTGGACACAAGGGGCTGAGCCCCGGGGTCCTCAGTGCTGCATCTTCCTATGTCCCCAGCCAACACCTACGAGGTCCAGGTGATCACAGGGAATGTGCCCAAGGCTGGTACCGATGCCAACGTCTTCCTGACCATCTATGGCGAGGAATATGGGGACACGGGCGAGCGGCCCCTGAAGAAGTCGGACAAGTCCAACAAGTTTGAGCAGGGGCAGGTAGGGTGTGGGCTCTCTGGCCCTTGGGTGGCGGGTGGGACTCAGATGATGATTCCCGAGGCAGCCCCAGTCCAGTAGTGTGCCCTGCTGAAGCCAACCAAGTATAAAGAAATCACCTCCTCTGGAAGCGCTGGCACTTTGTGATCGAGTTTATAAGAAAGGTACAAGTGGGCGCTCGGTGCCAGGAAGCCCGCAGGAACTAACTGCAGACAGTATTGGTACAGATGCTCAGGTACTGAGTGACTGGAGCAGTGGCTCAAAGAGGATGTGCTGACTGTAAGATGGTGCTTTGGGGAGAACTTGGTGGGAAGGAGAGATGTGAACTGGGCCTTGGTGGATGAGTATGGTGTGGGTGTCCAAGATGACAGCAAGAGGTATTTTCTGAAGATGGGATTGCGTAACAAAGACGTGGGGGTGGAAGTGTGAAAGGCCAGTTGGAGGACAGTGTGTCTATTTGCTATGCTGTAGTTAATGCCAAGCCATGGAGGGCGCTGCCTCTGGGAAGCTTACTGGGACCGATTTAAGGGATGGGAAGGGGCATGAGAGGCTTGAAAGACAGGCTGAGAAGCCGAATCTACATCCTGTGGCAGTGGGAGCCCCGAAGGCTTTGAGAATTAAAAGAAATGCGTGCACCTCCCTCCTCCAGGTAGAGTAG